TCTGTGCACAGTTTGGGAACATGAGAGTAAGCAAATCTTGTCTAACTTCTTTGCTGCCTTTTTTTGAGGCATGTTTCAAATATGGGAAGTGTATATTTTCAGGTTTTCACTTTTTTTGGTTTGCTTCCCTTTCTCTTCTTGAGTCGTCTTTGGCTCCTTTTTCAGCTGTTCTCTTCCTGTGGTATGATTCCTTAACTTTTCTTTCCTTCACTGATTAGCACATTTTTACCTGAGGAAACACTTCTTTGTAATAGTTCTTTCACCACCCATCTGACAGAGAGTATGAGATCCATTCCTGTGCACCCAGAAAAAAAGTAGGCACACACATAAGAGTTATTTATCAGAATTTTAAAGACTGGGTGTTGCCAGGCATTGATGGAGGCCTACTATATACCTGTCCGTGGTGCATGATCGTCCATCTTCTCCGAGTGGATTGCTATTTTCTGATGGCCTTCCTCCACAGCCACTTGTGTGGACATGGAGCTGTGGGCCTATAAACCAGGCCAGGTCTTTATTCTCTGTTGCTGATTTGGCCTATGGATGATTGATAGTTTGCCCCCCAGCTGGCTCCTCATCTCTTACCACAGCTCTGTGAAGATGAGCTCACAGCTGTGGCTAGGCAGTTGAGTGTGGGAACCGGGCTTCATGGAAATTTTGTATGCATAGATTCTTCCCTCTTCTTCCCTTCTGTCGTTGGTGTTACATCCTCGCCATCTCGATCACTTGTTAACATCTTGGTATTTACTCATGAAGTCTTCCCAAAATAAAGAGGAAACAACTGGAGATCTCCTGGTATAGAAATTGTGAATTTGAAAAAGCAATCATACAATCACATAGTCTTTTATTTGTCCTTTTGCATTTGTGTCTTCCTCTCAGCACTTGTGAGAATGGACAGAATTACACGTGACTGTTACTATGTGGTCAGACTGCTTAGTCCTCCTATTAATTCCATGTGGGATAAAGATAACTTTCCACATCGAGAATCTGAACTACATAACCTAGTTGGGATGAGGAGGATTTGCTGGAGACTTAGGGCATACATAGACCTTCCTTCTTCTCACCTGGGCTCAGGGAGTTGGGTGATGGTCAAATATTGGTGTTAATATAAAGCTAGACGGAAAAGTGACTGTAGTGGTCTTAGCTGGATACGTGGGAATTTGTTCAGGGAAGACGTTCTAGACTCTGAGCAAGCCTGCTTGCAGGTCCTATCTGGAGACTCTGTGTGGTAGATTGAATTGTGTCCCCTAAAAATGTCTTCAGTTTGTCTAGGCCATGATTCCCAACATTGTGTGATTGTCCGCCATTTTGTCATCTGATGTGATTTTCCTGTGTGTTGTCAATCCTGTCTCTATGATGTTGGTGAAGTGGGATTAGTGACGGTTATGTTAATGATGCAGGACTCAATCTACAAGATTAGATTGGGTCTTAAGTCAATCTCTTTTGAGATATAAAAGAGAGAAGTGAACAGAGAGACATGGGGACCCTATACCACCAAGAAAGCAGCGCTGGGAGCAGAGCGTGTCCTTTGGACCTGGGGTTCCTGCACGGAGAAGCTCCTAGACCAGGAGAAGATTGATGCCAAGGACCTTCCTTCAGAGCTGACAGAGAGAGAAAGCACTTCCCCTGGAGCTGGTGCCCTGAATTTGGACTTCTAGCCTACTAGACTGTGAGAGAATAAATTTGTTTGTTAAAGCCATCCACTTGTGGTATTTCTGTTATAGCAGTGCTAGATAACTGAGACACTCTGAAACAAGATTTAACACCTTCGATGGCCGTTCATCTTTTAAGATGCTGGTGGGAGGAGTAACCTGAAGTCACTGGAGAATCCAGCTAGTTGCTTGGGATTCCCTGAGAGAGTTCTTTTGAATTATGAGGTTGCTAAATTTATTTCTTGTTGTTAGCTGCCATTGAGTTGGCCCCCAAGTCATGGTGACCCTATGCCATGCACAACAGAATGAAATGCTGCCCAGTCCTTCATCATCCCCATGATCAGTTATAGATCAAACCATTGTGATACATAGGGTTTTCGTTGGCTGATTTTTGGAAGTAGGTCACCAGGCCTTTCTCCCTGCTTCTTCTTAGTCTGGAAGCTCTGCTGAAGCTACTCAGTATCATAGCAACACACAAACCTCCACTGATAGACAGATGATGACTGCAAATGAGATGCATTGGCTGGGAATCAAGCCCGAGTCTCCCACATGGGAGGCAAAAATTCTACCACTGAACCACCAGTTTCCCCAAGTTTACTTCTTAGAGTAGCTTTATCTAGCTTCTTGTTGAGGATGGTCTGCCATGCAGCCTCGGTGCCTCCCATCCAGGCTGCCCAAAAAAGGCCTTGGGCCCAGAGCATCAATGTTAAGGAGGCTGGGAATTGGGCCTCTCACGATTTCTCAGTCCTTTCTCCGTATCAGGGCCCTGTTCTGGGCACACAGTAACTTTCTCTGTCTCTTGGACGTGTGCGGGCACCACATGGCACTCGGTCGACCCCACTTCTCTGTATCTGTTCCCAGCGGGGAGGGAACAGGATCTCTCAACTAAGGCACCAGCCATATGTGCAACGATCTTGCTGGCCATGGTAGACCGGTGCCCACTTGTGAAGCTGATCTCACTCTGTCTCTTCTCTATGTGAGTAAAGCATTACCTATGCACTGCTAGAGTGTGTGTGTGTGTTCTTTGGTTGGCGACCTTGAACCCTGGCATGACACTTCTTAACTTTCCTTTTGTTATTAACAAGACCAGAAAAATATCAGAACTTGACAATATGTAAGTTAAAAAAAATTCCCTGATGTGCTTGCTTTATTTATTCATTAAATTGAAAAATGGTTATTTGTACATTCTCATTCTGATAGTTGATGGCTTTGCTCATGGATGTGTTATTGAGGAATTTAGGCTCTTAGGCCTGTGTAGTGTACTAGGTTGTAGGCACCAGAGTTGATAAGTGAAGCCTTGTAAAACTACTTATTTTTGAGTGGTATGTGTTTTGCCTTGTTTAGTTTTTTATTTTTAGGATGCAGATAAGCTCAAGAATCAGATGTCTAGATATTAAAACCGTAAACCGTTGTATTTAAGAGATACTTAATGGAAATATCTAAGTGGAAAAAATAATATATAGAGCACACTAAATGGTATATCAGTTAGGAGTTCCATACTCATTGCCTTCAAGTCGATGCTGACCCATAGCGAACCTATAGGACAGTAGAACTGCCCCACAGGGTTTCCAAGGCTATAAGTCTGTAGAGTCTGTGGAGGAAGACTGCAACTTCTTTCTCCTGTGGAGCAGCTTGTGGGTTCAAACCACCTACCTTTCGATTAACAGACAAGTGCTTGAACACTGTACCACCAGGGCTCTTGGCTGTAAACAATAGGGTCCTGAACCACAGTGTGCTTGAACACCAAAGGTTTAGTTTTTTCACATCAAGAGAAGTTGAAAAAAGTAGTCATTGCCGTTGTTTCTTTGGGTAAGGAAGTTAAGTCTGTCCAGTTTCTTGGCCTTTTCTTCATGATTCCAAGCTATCTTCTGAAGCTGTAGCAAGTATACTCACATTCTGGGCAGGGAGAAGGAAGAATAAATAGAAGATTTCCACTTACAACTCATTGACCAAGAAAGATACATGGCTACCCTGGGCTGCAAGGGAGTCTGGAATATGTAGTAATTTAACTGGGTACATCACTAAACCAAAAAAAAAAAAAAAAAATCAAACCAGTTGCCATCAAGTAGATTCTGGCTCATGGTGACCCCATGTGTTTGAGTAGAACTGTGCTCCATAGGGTTTTCAATGGCTGTGATCATAAGTAGATCTCCAGGTCTTTCTTCCAAGGTACTTCTGGGTGGATTTGAACTACCAACCTTTTGGTCAGTAGCCGAGTGCTTATCATTTGTGCCACCCAGGGACTCCTGGGTGCGTCACAACCACCAATAAAATTTGACTTCTGTTAGTAAAAATCAATGGGTAAATGAATAGTGGGAAGGCAACTGACATCTCTGCTACAGATACAGTGTTCAAATGTAAAATAGTATTTCTGAAGGAGTCCTTGCGTGGTACAAATGGTTAACATGCTGTGTTGCTAACCAGAGGATTGGAGGTTTGAGTCTACCCAGAAGTGCCTCAGAAGAAAGATCTGATGATCTAGTTCCAAAAAATCAGCCATTGAAAACACTATGGAGCACAGTTCTACTCTGACACATATAATGTCACCATGAGTGGGCAGCTGGTTAATAGTTCAAAAAGTTCTAAAGTGACTTGTTAGAAGATAACCATATTGTTTGTTTGTATGACTATGTAATTTCTTTTTATATCTATAATGTTGTAAATGGGGAAAAGTGGGAGGTTCATGTGGCTTTCTTAGAATTATAAAAGGACAGAAGAATGGAACATTATCTTTCTTAAGGCCCAGTATTACCCCTGATACATTTTAAGATACATTGAATATTGAACTGAAAATCATCTAAGGACATACTATGTCTGAATTGGTGAAAGACGAAGAGGCTTAATGAAACCAAATCATAACACTTCAGATCAGTTATATACTTAGAGAGTTGCACAATGTGTTTTCAATCTTCATAAAGTCAGAGTTCCTTGGGAATGCGTACTGCATTCATAACTTTTGTAAACATTCCAGTCATCTTTGCTCTTGAACTTTCTGTTCTTTTACCCAGTATATTTTCCCAGAAATATTTTTCTGTCACATAGTAAATGAATAGCAGAATGTAGGTGGATGAAAGTGAGTTTTGCTGACTTTCTGTTGTTGTAGAGGAACTTTCTCTTCCAGTTCTTGTTCCAATTCTTAGTCCTCAATATGCATATGAATGCCAGAAGAGTTCTTTAAAGGACAAATGTGGTTTTTTGGCTTTATTTATTTTGTAGCAAGATCATTTCTTCACATACAGAAGTGATCATCTGTCGTCTTCTAGAATTTTCTGTAAATGTTACCATGGGTCATATGAAAGAAAAAGAGTCTTACTGATATTTCTTTCCTTTTTCAATCAATTATGATTATAGGCAATGTCAGCCTACTGTGTCATCTCACAGTGAAACAGCAGCAATTCCAGTTCCTACTCAGATAAGAAATTATCAGCGCATAGAGCAAAATCTGACATCCACTGCTAGCTCTGGCACAAATCTACATGGTTCTCCAAGGTAAGCTAGTACTTTTACTCCTTTTCTATTCTTGTTCTTTTCATTAAAAAAGTGTTGTTGTTATTGAAAGGTCTCATTTTCCAGGGAAGACTTAGTCTCTTGGAGGTAAGACATTATACAAAATTGAATAATGAAAAAAAGTTTTGTAATGAATATACTTAAATAATATTTAAGCATGGCAGGATAATATATGATGGACATGTATATATACATTTGTCCACAAGTGTAATAATTTTTAAGAATTGAGGGAAGAACTTGTTTAAAAATGAAATCTCATTAGTTGTAATAGGTTATTTACATATTTTTATTTCTATACCCTGAGATCCCACTAAGATAGTAGTAAAGTAATAACAAAGTTATAAATGCAAAAAAAAGACAAGTAAAATAAGAATAGATGTTTAGTTGGTGAGGGATTTCTATTAATTTCTGGAAAACAGAAAGAGGATGGAAGAGGAGTAACGGCTTTAGCAGGGCAGATAAAAGTGTGTGTGCAGTTAGAGATTCTGAAAAAATGAGAATCACTGTGTCCCACAGTAGCCTCTGAGAGGCTTACACTCAGAGAACTCAGACGGAATGGAGGGATGGAAGTGAGGCATAAGGCTGAAAACAGAAAACGTGAACCTGGAGGAAATAGGAAGAATGCAAAGAAAAGGAGAAAACATAAAAAAATTAGTACCCTTAGAGATACAGCCACTACCAGACTGTCAGTTTGTTGTACTGCGGTGACTTGCATGTTGCTATGATGCTGGAAGCTATGCCATCGTTATTTCAAATACTAGTAGGATCACCGATGGTGGACAGGTTCCAGCGGAGCTTCCAGACTAAGACAGAGTCAGAAGGAGAGCCTCGCGAATCTATGAAAACCCTATGGAACACAACAGGATGTTGTCCAGTATAGTGCTGGAAGATAAGCCCTTTAGGTTGGATGGCACTGAAAATACACAGTGCCTGCAACAATGGACTCAAGCATACCAACGAGCATGAAGATGGCACAGGACTGGGCACTGTTTTATTCTGTTGTACACGGGGTTGCCATGAGTCAGAGCCAACTTGACAGCATGGAGCAGCAACAACAGAGATAAGATATTGCATCCATAAAATAAGAATGAAATGCCATTGAAAAAGAACAATCGGAAAATTAAAAGACCCTTTTTCGCATTAAAAATATAACAGCTGAAATAAATAAAAAGAAGTGTTGGAAGATAAAGTTAAAGTATCTTAAAAAGGAGACTGAAATAATGAAGATGGAAAATATGAATAAAAAATATTCTTCAAGGATTAATTAATATAGGCATTCCAGAACGAAAGAACAGATAAAATGATGAGGAAGAAAAATTCCAGGAAATAACCAAGAGAAATTCTTCCAAAATTGGAGGATATAAGATTTTGAATTAAAAGGGCCCATCAAATGAGCAGCTGCATGCATGCGAAAAGATCCTAACCATCTGTTGAGATGCAAATTGGAAGAACTTATGTGAAGGGTATTTTAGTAATAGCAGTCAACATTATTAATGCATGTATCCTTTGACCCAAGCACTTAAACTTCCAGTAACTTATTCTACAGATAATAGTCCTTGCCTTCGTGTTAAATGGCATATATACAAACTTGTTAACTGAAGCATTATTTATAATAGCAAAGGATTAGAAATAAGCCAAGTGCCCTCTCATCATTAAGGGACTGATTTCTTATGCTCTATGACAGTGGAACACTGTGCATCTTCCAAAAAGAATAAGGAAGCTTTTTATGTATGTGGTAGAAAAATTTCCAAGGTATATTGTAAAATGAAAAAGCAAAGTGATTAACTGTATTAAGCTTTGGTTCTCAAAGTGTGGTGTGTGATCCCTTTCAGAGGGCCCATGAAGTGAAAACTATTTTCATAGTAATACTAAGACATTATTTGGTTTTGTCATTATTCATATATACACTGATGGTGCAAAAGTGATGACTGGTAAAACTGCTGGTACCTTAGCATGAACCAAGGTAATGGCATCAAACTGTGCTGTTAGTCTCTGTATTCTTCACCACTGCACCCTTACAGTACAAAGGAATGTCCTTGATGAAGCAATAAAAATAATCCTTAAAAATCCTGGCCCTTGAGTGCAATGTATGCATAAAGCAATTTTACTGCATTTTGGAGTAGTTGTCTTAAGGACAAGTGTTTGTAATTATTTTTCATGAATTAATAAATGTCTTAATTTCTAATACAGCAAATATTAATAGATATGTTATATAAGCAAAAACTGTCTGGGGTCCTCAATAATTTTAAAGCGTGTGAAGGGGATTTCTCTTAGCTTTCTGGTGCTGCCATAAGAGAAATACCACAAGTGTGGGTGGCTTTAAAGAAGAGAAGTGTATTTTCTCATAGTTTTGGAAGTTAAAAGTCCAAATCAGGGTCTTGGTCATGTTGATTCCTTCTGTGAGCCTGTCTCCTAGTTTCTGGTGTCTACTGGCATCCTTGGTGTTTCCTGACGTCTTTCTTCCCCCTGTGTCTGTCTCTGTGTCTGTTCTGCCCTTTGTATAACTCAGAAGTGATTAGGGTTAGGACCCACCCTACTTGGGTATGACCAAAATTAACATAACAAAGAAAACTTTATTTCCAAACACATCTACAGATCAGGGGCCAGGACTTTAATACATATTTTGGGGGATACAGTTCAGTTCATAACAAGACAAGACCAAAAGATTGTACGTGGTCGATATATATATTTGTGTAAAAACAGGAAGAAAATAAGAGTTCACTTGTATATGCATAAAGGAACTCTGGAAGGATATACTAGAAACTAAAAATAGTGGTAACCTTGTGAATAGGATGGAGGGAGTACTGGGAATTAGGCAGATAGGATGCAAGTATGGTAGAGAGACTTCACTGTATATAATTTTATGCATTTTGTATTTATCATGTGGCTATATAACCTATTTTTAAAAATTTTTTTTATTGTTGTAGTTTAAATGAAGCTTACATTTCAAGTTAGTCTCCCATACAAAAATTTATACATACGTTGTTATGTGACCCTAATTGCTCTCCCCATACTGCAACAGCACACTCCTCCTTTCTACTGATTCCCCATGTCCATTCAGCCAGCTCCTAACCCTCTCTGCCTTCCCATCTCATCTCCGGACAGAAGCTGCCGGTTTAGTCCCTTATATCTACTTGAGCTAAGAGACACACTCCTCACGAATATCACTTTATGTCCCACAGTCCAGTCCAATCCCTGTCTGAAGAGTTGGCCTTGGAAGTGGTTTTATTTCTGGGCTGATAGAGAGTCCAGGGGCCATGCCTCCCGGGGTTCCTCCAGTCTCAGTCAGACCATTAAGTCTGGTCTTCTTACTAGAATTTGAGTTCTGCTCCCCACCTTTCTCCTGCTCCATCAGGGACTCTCTGTTGCATTCCCTGTCAGGGCAGTCATTGGTGGTAGCCAGGCACCATCTACTTCTTCTGGTCTCGGGCTGATGAAGTCTCTGGTTTATGTGGCCCTTTCTGTCTCTTGGGCTAATACTTTCTTACTTTTTTTTTTTTTAATGTTTATTTATTTTTTTATTGTACTTCAGGTGAAGGCTTACAGAACAAATAGTTTCTCATGAAACAGAAGTACACATGTTGTTTTATAACATTGGTTAACAACCCCACAACCTATCAACCCTCTAACTTCTCAACCTTTTTTTTTTTTGGTGAAAAATACCCATAGCCACAGATACACCATTTCAAAAATTTCTATATGCACAGTTCAGTGACATTGACTACGCTCTTCCAATTGTGCTGTTATTCTCACTTAAG